GTTCATCATTTCGGACGACGTGCGGTTCGACGGCCGTGGTGCTATAAGGAAGTGAACTTTGATCATACGACCGGTCACACTTCTCGTAATTATTTGTATAGTTCTATATCAGGGTATTGAACACACAACAAGGTGTATATAAGCAAGCAGTTGATTATAAACACCATACTATAATTATAATGTACGTGTGTGTGTAGAATGATCATGTGTTTTCTACGAGATATATCTTGAAAAGACGCGCATTGAATAGTATAGCTGTTACTGATTCAAAAACGATTAGTATATTATATAAACAGCTCTGTGCCAGCACCGATTATAATGAGGTCAAATCATTCATTCAAACTAAAAACTAACAATGCAGAGCCATAATTATTAACATACTGACCTCTGGTGTATTTTTGATACTAACTCTGATATGTACATATGTATACTCATCAACATGTAAATGCGTGGTTATTCTTTGGAAACGCCTCTGTATTCACCAAATAATCCTGTATGGACAGCAATGTATGTTTGGTCAAAGTGCTAGCCAGGACGTTACCCTGAATAAAGTTGAATCGATTGAGTGGAGCCGCCGCACATGTATGTGCAATATTTATTTAATACTATGTCAAAATAGGTGTTGGTGGCGGCGGCACGAGAGGGGGGGGGGTGGTGCAGAAAGGGGCCTCCTCGAAAAAAATGACGAGGGAGGGCGTTGTTCTCCAAAATCAAGCCGAAACCTTTTTTGTCAGCAAAATTTGTCCCTCAAAATGCAGGAAATAGCGTTACAAAGGGTCTAGAATCTTGGCGCGAAGTTGATTAGCATATTTCGCCCCATGCAAAACTTCGTGCCGCCGTCTCTGGGTATCTAAATTGAACTCTACCCAGGGACTAATTTTGGTCATGCTCAATGGTGATTTACATGTCCTGATTCAAACGTATTCGTTACATTAGGTCTGGTCTTGTTTTCGACGATGTTCTCGTTAGAATATGTTTCCGACGAATATATTTCGAGCCGGAATTAATAGTATTGAATTTGACAACGAGGACTCGAAATTACGTGTATTAAGGGCCAAAACAGCATTTATTTACCATATTTAACGTTTCATGACGCTGTCTAATTTAGCTGAATTTTAGAATTACATTCAAGGACACGCCCAACAGCAATCAATATGAATTCACCGGTAGCGGGCGCCTACTTGAAAATACAAAGGTTGACGAACGGGCATGAGTCGGAAATCATGATGTGTGAATCAGCTTTTTGGAACAACCGTGTCAATAGAACAGTGAAACATTTATGACTGAAAGCCTTGGGATTATGGAAAATATTCGAAATTCAAAGTGACATGACGAAAACAGCTTTCATGTCCCCTGGGTCATGTCCTGTGTCGACAAACGGCAATAATGCGCATGGATAAAAACAAAGGGCAAGTCACGTGCTAAGACCAAATTGCTAACGGGTGAGAGTATCCAATATCCAAGTAAATATTACTGTCAATACTAATCCCCATATACAAGAGGAGCTACAAATGCCTAAAACCAAGGAAACTATTTTCAATGTGAAATGGCACATTCTGTCTGTTTGTTTTGTGCGACTTTTGCCACTAGAGGGCGGCAGCCACAGAAACAGGGGTAAGTTTATCCATTTCTATTCGAGCATTAACCATGTTTTAGAGATTTCATAAACGTATTTTGTGCCAACAAATAATTATCTAGAACTTAGAAAGGCATTCATTGAGCACAGTCTATACTGTGCCAGATCCTGTTTGATCAGATTAAAGCATTCAGAATCAAATATCTTCAACGCTACCTCTACTCTGGCCTTCATCATCCAATTACATTTCAAGGCATTACGGAAACCTAAACTACAATAAACAATTATTCTGTACATTTATTTGAAACATCGCTTACAATTTCAACGTTGCAGTATTCTATAACGAACGTCTTCTCGCCTTCAGCGCATTTACAGTTTAAAAAGCGTCTAATTATAAGCCCACTAAAATTCACGAATCATTGAATGAGTCAATTTATAATAACTTGCAAATTTTAAATCCTTTCATGTGTGAACTATTCACTTGCAGACATCTGAGCAACCAGGGAACTCATTAAATAAATAAATAAATAAATAAATAAATAAATAAATAAATAAATAAATAAATAAATAAATAAATAAATAAATAAATAAATAAATAAATAAAAGAAAGCTATAACCTCGCTTATATATTGTGCAAGTGAAGCTCGGTAATAAGCCGTTGACAACAACTAAATAAAATCAAGTATGTTTATTGAATTCGAATATGTTTTTTTTACCGACCAATGATTTGTCACACACATAAGGAAAGTATAGAGGGAAATATCAACTGCGCCTCAGTGTATTGCATTGTTTGTCTGTCTTGACCTCGCTGACCTCAGCCATTGTAAAAGTAAAAGTATCACGTGATCTGTCATGGCGGCCTCTGTAGTGTCCGAGTCCCAGGCTGAAACGCCATCGCTGGAAAAACGTAGTCTCGACCCTTTTATTGAGCTTTTAAATGATATCGCTGAGAATATTTCTGACGGTATGTAACCGGAATATCACGTGTCTGGTTTCATTACATGTTATCGAAATGTGATTTGTTGCGTATCAACTTCCATTACCAGAAATAACTTCAGATTTGAAACGTCGCTGTGTTGGTATTATTCATGACAGGCCGCTATCTAAAATAACACACCCATTTGACTTATTCAGGAAGTTGCATGAGCAAGGTACCCTGACGAGAACTGACACAACATTGTTAGAATCCTTATTAGACAGTGTTAGTGAACATTCATTGGCTGATCAGCTACGACGTTATTGTAGTGATCTAGTTTACATATGAATGGCATTCCCACCTGAATGAATTGTATGCATAAATTAAGAGCCTATATAAG